TACCTCGCCTCCCAGGTGACCCTGCCCCCCTTAAATCTAAGTAAGAGACCTTGGGGCTGTGGTGTGGCAGCCAGCATTTCAGGATGCTCTGCTGAAGGTGTGATTCTCAGAGTTAAGTGAAAAGGGTCTCCCATGGACTAACCCAGTGCAGGAAGAGCCAGGAGAAAGGGTGAAGTGAGAGGCAACAACTCCAGGGGAAAGGAGCTCTGGTAGCGTAGTGGTTATGAGTTGGCCTGCTAACCTCAAGGTCAGCAGTCCAAACCTACGAGCCACTCCACAGGAGAAAGATGAGGCTTTCTGCTCCCGTAAAGATTTATAGCCTTGGAAACCCTATGCAGGCTCACTATGAGCCAGGTCTGACTCCAAGGCACATAATCCATTCACTCCATCACTCACCACCAAGGGAAGCATTCAAGAATGAAGAGAAAAGAAGTTTCTACCAAGGATGACCACATTACCAACCCACATCCCAGAGTTCTCTGGGCTGTGTCTGTCCGTCTACCACATCCACAGCTCTCCAGTGTCCTCCAGGTCGATCGAAGTTGCTGAGAATACCCCAGCACAAGTAGGGACCAGAGATGGGGATGTAAGGGAACAATAGCAAGATGACTTCAAGGGCATGCTAGGTTTGTGGTTCTCCCGGGACTTTCTGCATCCAAGGTCTAGGTCTAGCTTCCAGGAAACTGCTATTGTCAGCTGCCGTCGAGTTAAGCAGACTCATCGAACCCCATGTACCAAGGAATGAAGCACTATGTGGTCCTACATCCTCCCCATGATCAGCTGGAGATTGGGCTACTGTGGTCCAGAGGGCTTTCACTGGCTAACTAGGGAGGAGATCACCAGGCCTTTTCCCCTAGTTTGGAAGCTCTGCAGAAACCTGCTCAGTAAGCCACCTGGCAAACAGGTGGTGACTAGGCGTGAGGTGCATTGGCCAAGAATCGAAGCTGGATCTCCCGTATGGAAGGCAAGACCTGTACCACTGAAGCACCACCACCCACTACCAGAAACTGCGGTGTGTGTCTTCAAACTGGTTCCGACTCACAGTGACCCTGTATAGAGTTTTCAAGGAGCAGCTAGTGGGTTTGAACTGCCGATTGTGATTACCAGGCCAGTGCTGATCGTACAGCATCACACTAGGACTCCCACACTGGTGAAAGTCCGTCCCATTGCCCCAGTTTCCTAAAATCTAGGGGTTGTAAGAATCCCAGGATCACAGGATCTCTTACTGACTGACCCCTGGTATCCTCTGAGAGAGAGCTTCAGAATGACTAAGTCCAAAAAAAAAATGAAGATCTGGTTCCCCGTCTCTATGGATGCTGCTTCCGGGACCCACTCTGTAATTCATGTGTGACATAATGCTGGCCAGTCATATACATCAACGGGACTGAGAGACCAAGCATGTCTACTCTTGACCCTAGAGGGGCATTTATTTTTAAATTATACAACCATTAAGAGTACATATACTCAATGTGTGAAGGAGTTCTGGTAGCGTAGTGGTTACAAATCGGGCTGCGAACCCTAAGGTCAGCAGTTCGAAACTACCAGCTGCTCTGCGGGAGAAAGATGAGGCTTTCTGTTCCCGTACAGATTTACAGCCTCAGAAACCCTGTACAGGGTGGATATGGGTCGGAACCGACTCAGCGGCACTTAACAACAACAACAACACTCAATGTGTAAACTATGAAGCCTAACTCATAGTTTCACAGTTCTTTACTCCTATAAAACACCGCAAAAAACTGTAGCCAACCAGACATTTAAAATCTACACGTAAAGAGTAAATAAATAATTCATGGTCCCTACATTCGGGCAAAATGCACCTTTCTTTGGAGTACTTCTTTAAGCTATCTTATTGAAGGGATAAAATCCTGTTAATAGAGAAGGAAGATCACAGACTTCAAAGATCACCTGGTCTCTTGAATAAAAAATAAGTTAGCCTACAGGTCGTAACTATGAAGAGTCTGGTTAACAGTACACAGCCTCCTCACTGATCAACTAATTTGTTATCCAACATTTTGTGTTTATGAAAATTGGAAAGAATCCCAACTATTTTGTGCAATAATGAGGTACATCTGTCAGTAACAAACACTGAGATGCTAGCTGAGAGCAACGCTGGATGTGATAGTTCAGGTGTGTGTCAACTAGCAGGGCCACGATTCTCGGTGGGTTGGCAGTTACGTAATGATGCAATCATCCTCCATTTTCCCATAATGCTGATTTCTGCATAATGACCTGGTCTTTGGAACCTAACCATGTTGAGAAATAAGGAGTGGGTGTATTTATTAAGTACTGACCATATGATACACATACTTCAAAGCTTTATGAATGTATTAAATTGCTTTATTCTCACAGCATTCTAGTAAGGTAGTTGTTAAGTGCCATCGAGTCAATTCCGACCCATAGTGACCTAGTGTAGGGTTTCCAAGGAGTGGCTGGTGAGCTTGAACTGCCAACCTTGCAGTTCAAACCAGCATCACACCAGAACTCTGTGTAAGGTGGGCGCTGTGTGTTAATGCACCAGACTGCAAAGCCGTTTGAACTTCAAAGTCGGCAGTTTAAGCTCACCAGCCACTCCTCGAAAACCCTATACAAGGGTTGCTATGGGTCTGAAATGACTAGATGGCACTTAACAACAACAACATACGTATGAAAATGAAGGCACAGAGAAGTTAATACACTAGCACAGAGAGACTAATAATATTAGTAAACTATTGTTGTTGTTAAGGAGCACTGGGGTAGCGTAGTGGTTACGAATCGGGCTGCGAACCGTAAGGTCAGCAGTTTGAAACTACTAGCTGCTACACAGGAGAAAGATGAGGTATTCTGCTCCTGTAAAGATTTACAGCCTCAGAAACCCTGTTCAGGGTCGCTATGGGTCGGAACCGACTTGACGGCACTTAACAACAACATTGTTGCTGTTAATGACTGTTGAGTGGTTTCCGACTCCTGATGAAGGCAGAGTAGAACTGCCCCAATTGGTTTTCCAGGATGTGACCTTTCAGAAGCAGATCACAGGTCGTACACTCCTGGGTGGGTTTGAACTGTCGACCTTCCAGCTAGCAGACAAGTGCTTTACCATCTGTGTCACCAGGGTCTCATATATTAGTCATTAGCCTAAGTTATTACTATCCTGGTTTGGTACTGTAGGATCAGCACTGGACTGTGAATCACAAGATAAGCAATTCAAACCCACCAGCTGCTCCTCTGAAACCCTCCAGTGCTGCTATGAGTTGGAACCAACCACTGGCACTGAACAACATCAGGAATTAGCACCAGAGTCCACAGCTTTAACCATAACATCTGCCTGTTGTTGCCACTTGCCTATCCAATAGTGCCTACGTGACTTGGCTTGGTTGCACAGCTGGTCAATGGCAAGGCCAAGGCGACTTCCATGTTCCTCCAATCCTCCCCTAATGCAAAGGCTTGTCCATTATCACCTGTAGAAACAGAAACACTCGGGGCCACACCACGGCCCAACTGGCCAAAGTGGAGATATATGGTGATGACTCACTCTTCACAGGGAGGTTCCTTCAGAGACATGACGACTCAAAGTACAACAGCATGGCCTGGAAACTTCCAGGAATGCGCATGGGCAGTAACTTACTATGGGAGCACCAGCTGGAAACTTCCAGATACACGCAACAGTAACTTACTGTGGGAGCACCAGCTGGCAGGTACCATGAAGTCCCTGATATGTAACCAAGTCTACTTTACACCCACAGCATCAAAGCTTGTATTCAAGCAGATAGTCACACTTTACCAGTGTTGTTCAGTTCTGAGGAGCCAGTTCCCACTCATCGTGACCCTGGATATATACAGGGGTTCTGAGGAGCGGCTGGTGAGTTTGAATCACCAACCTTGTGGTTCAAACTGAGCTTTGCCATCCAGTGCTTATCCCACAGCACCATGCTAGACTCCTTGACTTTACTAGTAATTGAGTATTCATTTTTCATCACCAAGCTACGTAAACCACTGCTGTCAGGGTATGCTCAAGATCTCTTTGGTTCCAGAAACGATGGGCTTTCCAAGGAAAGAAACAAACACACAGTCTGTTTCTTATCATTCAGTAAGGTTCCCTGATGAGCATGCGTCCTCTCTTAAGAATGCCACAACCTAACCAATTGGCATGGAGTCAGTTCTGTCTCGTGGTGAATTCGTGTTGTAGAGTTAAACTGCGGGTAGGGTTTTCACTGGCTGTGACAATTCACAGAGCTCTACGCCTTTCTTATGAGTGGATTAGAACCACCAACCGTTCAGTTAGTAGATAAGAGCTCAATCTTTTGTGTTCACTCAGGGACTCCTCCCAAATAAACGTCATCACAACGCTAATGGTTTCTGAGACTGTAGATCTTTACCGGAACAAACAGTCTCATCCTTCTCCCACAGAGCAGCTGTGGGTATGAACCATGGACCACGCAGTTAGCAGCCCATTGTCTATCTCCCAGCACCCCCGGGGCCTCCTTCAAGGACTCCTAGAACCATGTAAATACAGTCAATGTTTTAGCATTCAACTACATTTCAATCAGGACTCCTGGTGTGGCGCTGTGGGTTAATGCGCTGGGCTGCAAAGTTGGTTTGAACTACAAGGTTGGTGGCTCAAGCTCACCAGCTGTTCCTTTGAAACCCTATATAGGGTCGCTACGGGTTGGAACCGACTCGACAGCTCTTGACAACAACAACAAGAACACATTCCAATATGTTTACATTTAATGTAACGTATTTCATATGCCATACAACAAATGAGTTCCTAAATCATGCTGCAAACCGGACATTCATTTATTTATACACAACACGCCTACAGAAGAAGATTGCATGCCACCTATATTTAGATGTTATCTGGTAGGTAAGAGAAAAATTGTCAGTGACGCTTTTGTAGACAAGGAATCAATACACTATAATTATTTTCTCCCAAGTATCCCTACTAATTTCAAGTATTATAATGTATCATATACAAAAACATATTCACAAGACAGATTTACTGATAAACTTGTTGTCCGACTTACCTATTGGATTTCTATCAAAGAACAATACTGGAGCTTTCAAAATGGACTCGAACATGTTGTTGTGCAGATTTTGAGAAGAATTTACCAGGATGTAGAACACCAACAGAGATCTTGCTATGCCAAAAAGCACCGTGGCTACAGTTAAACCTGAAATAAAGAGACAGCCCTCAGGGAGATCCACAATGTCTTACAGGTCAGGCCGTTTGTAAAGACATTACTTAATTCATGCCATTCCATAAGGTATCTGTGGGTACCCTAACATTAAAATCATTCATTTTGACTCATTGAACGGAAGCTGGCATGGGGAATCAGGTAAAAACTGTAATTTGACCCTCTGTTGTTACTGTTGAGTCAGTTCTGAGTCATAGCCACCCTGCATTGAGTTTCCAAGGAGTGGCTGATGAGTTTGAACCGCCGACCTTGTGGTCTAGTACATTATCCCACAGCCCCACACCAGGACCCCTGGTTTCCTAAATCAATTACAATATCTACTGAAAAGTCAGAAATACAAAAGGCAATTGTATTTCTGACTGAATTGGTGTAAGTTCTCCTGTGTGGTCTCAGCAACAAGAATAAATGAAAAAAATAAATCTTACTATTTACAACATGTCCCATAACCTAACATTGTGCTAGGTTTTGATGCCAACATAAGATATTAACAGAATAAGAGAAATTATTTACCCTTATCAATGGCACTTTAAAGAATTTGAAAATATACTGAACTGCAGGTGAAAAACCTCTTAAGTAGTTGACTTGCACGATAATATAATAGCAAATATAATGAATTTAGATATATGGTAATTAGCCTACATAAGTAAAAGTAACTATTTTTCCATTACGACTTTTCATATCACTAGAGTATTTTTAAATGAACATATTTTAAATGACGTTTTAATTAGTAAGGCATAAATGAACACATAAAAATTAAAATAACTTTCCTAATATCTCTTTAATGCACAATGCTAAGGAGAATGGGGTTAGCTCCTGTAATAAATATTCCATTCCCTTCATCATTGTTATTTAAACTGTGAAAGCAGCCCAAACGCCTAAACTCCCTCAAAAGGCATTTTCCTTAGCCCACAATCCTACCTACATGAATATATAATAGAATCATTTTTCTTCTTCCTTCAGGTCTCACATGGTCGACCAATTCAGAAGGTAAACAGCTAATGGATTTAGATTTGTTAGCAACTGATCAACGAAATAAATACCAATTTTAAAGAGGAGTGGGTTCTTACAAAGATGACTCCCTCTCTCTTTGAGGAACACTTGTATAAGCATTTGCTGTGGAAACATTTCAACTTTTAAAAAGGATTTTCTTTTTAAAAGTACGGAACGCTACATATATTCTAAGCGTTAATATAAGAACAGAGGACTGTGATGATATTAGTCTGGCAAGCCAAATGTTATATTAATCGCACAGTTGGGAACGCGATAACATTGTGATCCCGAGGTAAGAAATGGAGGAATTCTCACTCGCAGACACAGGATTTGTCCCCGCTTAGCTTCTCTCTTAAGTAATTAGTGAAGCCCAGGAGATGAGCAGTACGGTGATAGGAACTTTACATACAGGGAGGGAGTAAGGCTTTCATTTTGGGTGCCTTGCTTTCAGAGGATTGCATCCAAGTCAAATAAAAGGCAGGGTTTATTCAGACAGAATTGGAACAATCTGAACCACAGGGTGGGGATCCGTTTCTAATCCCCTTGCCCATCCATATAATGATATAAGATTTAGCTAAAGCAACCTATTAGAATAGACAATAGCCACATATTTCCAGTGGCTGACTTTCTGAATGCTCAATCCTGGTTTAACTTTCAAAATCCAGTATAGAGCAAATTAAGAGTCTTCATTCAGCCTCTTTCTTCCAGTCGGTTTTTAAAATAATTATTCTAATTAATTCACAGAGTAAATGCGACTCAGACTCTTAATCTGTTAAGACATTACTGAATTACTCCTGGAAGCCCTAGTTACTCACAGAGGCTCATTGTAAGCACCTCAGACTCTTGCATAATAGACCAAATGATTAAACTTTACCTGAATAAATTCCTAAGTACCAGTTAAGATCTAGCGTCTCCGTTACATTTCCTTTTCCATTTACAGTGGCATTCAGTGCACTCTGTTCGTTTGCCCTACGGAACAGGGGGGTGGAAATATTAAGCTACAGATGGAGTTTAGATAAACACACGTACACAAATTAAATTAAATAATCTCAATTCGTGAAGAATATTTTATGCCGGAAATGATTCCCAACTCATTCCCACAGTTCACTGTGTGCACATACATTTTCCATGTGAATCATGATTTTCCATTTTCAAAATTATCTGGGAATACATGGCTGAGAATCAGACATGGGTCACACTCCACCACCAAGAACTTGAATTTTTTTTCGCAGGTAAACTAAGTTAGGGTTAGACAAGAAGGCGAAACAAGCCCAATCTCTCCCATAACACTGGAAGAGTGGAGAATCATAATGATTTTTTAGTACTTCCCATCAGACAAAAAAATAACTCACCAATAGGAAAGCCACCAATCCTGAAGAACATAGGAAACCTAGAGCAGAAAAAACAATCAGTCCCTGGCATCACAAACCAACTCAAAACTCTTAACCATTGAACACCTGAGCAAACAAGTCCAGAGAACTGAAATGGTCCTTCTGATTTAGGTCTGTGCCAACCACAACTCTTCATATAAGAACTCAACCCACCCACAGCCATCAGTCAATTCCTACAGGACAGAGTCCAACTGCTTCTTAGGGTTTCAAGACTGTAGCTCTTTATGGGGACAAACAGCTTCATCATTTTCCCATGGGTCTGAACAGCTGACCTTGTGGCTGGCAGTCCAATGCTTTTAGTCCACTGCACCAGGTGTCAGGTAAATAAATGTTATAGAATTGTTACATCTTGCATAGAGATACATTTTTCCCCCAGAAGTTCTTTGTAATATATGTGCAGTACCAGTAAAGTCTCACTTATTTAGTCCCCAACAGATGGAATTTTCCAAACTAGATTCAAGTACACTGCACAGTGCAGTAATAATAGCCTGAATATGGGTATTTGTAATTATCAGTCAAAAGACACAAACAACGTTCATTTACCAGAGAGGCAGCATTTAGCAGAATAAGTAAAATGATGATGGACCAGTGGGCACCAGCTGCAAAGTAATTCTTATAGGCCTTGAACCCAACTTTTCCTTCAGAGCGGCTCTCCTCCAATTGCGGTGTCGCCTGTGTGTTCTCAGTCTGTGGAGATAAAAAAAAAAAAAACCCAGTAAGAAACAAAAGGTAAAATAGTGTACAAAAAGTTTGCACAGGTTAACAAGGCATCCTGTTGGCAAAGCTGTGAGAAAACAAGTACACCTCACATGCCACTAACAGGAGTTCAAAATGTGGAGGAAGTGGCAGTAGCCAGCCAAACCACATGTGCGATTATCCTTGCATCCAGGTGTCCTATCTCTAGGAATATATTGGAAATAAAGAAATGTCATTTGCGTAAGTTGTTCACTGTGGCATGGTTTTGTCTGAAGTCCAGCATTGTGAGTTCCAACTCATGGCAAGTATAAATACAGAAGTTTGATCCAAAATAATACAAAAAATGATTTGTAACTAAAGTTACAAAATGCAACTCTAGATTACCTGTGTTACTCAACGATGGGAACATAAAATGCACAAGGAGCTCAAAATGTTAGCCAAATACAGTAACTGAGTTCAACCAGCGAGTCTGGGTAATGACCGTTCAGATGGTGAGAGATAACATAATTGGCTTCTGAGTGAGAGAGAGAGGTTTTCGAGAGTTTGGAATATGAGTGCTTACTCTGAATACTTAGCAGAATCATCCAGAATCCTTAGTTTGGGTAGTAGGGGTGTATGTGTGAGTGCATTTCTGAAGGACTTTTAGCAGCGCAAATAGTTAAGCACTCAGCTGCTAAGCATAAGGTTGGCAGTTCAAACCCACCCTGCAGGAGAAAAACCTGGCGATCTGTTTTTGTACCGATTACAGCCAAGAAAACCATATGGAGAAGTTCTGCTTTGTGGCATGGACTGTTTTATAGATTCACATGAGCTAAGGATGCACTTGGCACAATGCTAGCCACTGGGGATTCAAACATGAATAAGACATGGCTCATGATTTTAAGGGATAAGAAACGAAGGTAGGAACTAACTCTAAAGTTTCTATTGTGTGCCAGAAATTCTTGGTGCATTGCACATGTTATTGTCTATCACAAAACATTAGACAAGTGGGCAAAAGAATATTGTCAGTACCAAAACATTCCAACAAACAGGAAGAGCAGTGATTTCATGTGGGCTAAAGCAGACTGGACTCAATCGATAAAACCTGTGGTCTTCAAATTGATCCTGACTCATAGTGACCCTCTAGGACCAAGTAGAATGTCCTAGAGGGTTTCCAAGACTATAAATCTTTACAGAAGCTGACTGCCACATCTTTCTCCTGAGGAACAGCTGCAAGGTTTGAACTTGTGACCTTCTGGTTAGCAGCTGAGAGCTTAACTACTGTGCCACTACTAGGCAACTCCTTGGCTCAGTTGATAGAGTCTTCAAATTTTATCTCTGGCTACAGAAGGGAAGCCGTGGCGTGGGGAGGAGGGAGGCGGGAAGGTCACCAGAAGTAAACTGAAGAGGTCTCTAGAACTTGCAGATGCACGCTAACCATTGTCTCCAGGCAATCTGCACCCCACACCCAAATACTAACTCAAATAAGGTTTGCTCCTTTTCCTTCTGTTTGAATTCCATCAATCCCAGTGAGTTGGGGACAAGTGAAGATATCATCATGAGCAGATTGATCCATGAGGCCAAATACAAGTGAACAAAAAACCCAGCACATGTGCTAAGACACGATGGAACTCACAGTTTGACCTTCTTGAGCACCCTCTTTCAGTGATGGTCTTGAAGACTGTTGAGACCAAATCGAAGACTCCGAGAAGGTTCGATTCCTCAGTGTGGGAGTTCCGGGAACTGGAGAATGCTCAGTTTCTTCACTCTCCTTCTTTAAAAGGGAACCAAAATCTACCCCAGACTTCTGAAACTCCGTGTAAGTCCCCTTTTGTACCATTTCACCCTAAAATAAACAAATGGCATCTGCAAGTAGTATGTTTGCACTTGATAATACTACTCTAAGCTAACACTAATACAAATCAAGAAAAGCAAACTGATCTTAAAACTACTATTTTCTTAAGAAAATTATCCTTTGGTCTGAAATTCTGGTTTATTAATATAGTTAAATTCTGAGTTTTCTACTCTTGGACAAACTGCAGTAGGTGCTGTGGGATACAAAGGAAGTGTGTAATCACATGTTAAAAAGTGGAAGTCACTGGCATAAATGCCATGAGTATTTGTTGTGGTTGTTAGGTGCCGTCAAGTTGGTTCTGACTCACAGTGACCCTGTGTACAACCAAACAAAACACTGACCAGTTCCTGCTATGCAAATAAATTAAATAGGCCTGGGTATTGAAGGAAACAGTACAGGTGTTGGTGGGAGTGTTAGTGCACTCTTTGCAGACAACATGAAAATTGAGATAAACCTTGTGGAATATGCAGAACCCAAGAGCAAAAAGGAGCTCTGGTAGCGTAGTGGTTATGAATCGGGCTACGAACCACAAGGTCAGCAGTTCGAAACCACCAGTTGGTTCCACAGGAGAAGATGAGGCTTTCTGCTCCCATAAAGATTTACAGCCCCGGAAACCCTGTACAGGGTCGCTATGAGTCAGAACCGACTCCACGGCACTTAACAACAACAACAACAAGAGCAAAATGGGGAAGATGTGTCAGGACAGAAATGCAAGACTAACAAGGAGGTCGGCACAAGCATGTCTGCATAGGGAAGAGTCACTCACCTCACCTTTCTGCTGACCCTGTATTGTGTGCTCTCACTAGGTCAGGCCAGGTGGGAACTAGCCCTGAATATGGAATCCACGTGAGTCCTCCTCATGGTCTCTACTCCGAAACGAAACAGCCCTACAAACTCAGGAAGCTCCCAACTAAACAGTCAACATTCTACATGATGCTTCATCGCCATTTCCCCCTCCTTCAAAAATTATATCAAATAATAGACAAATACTATCAAGGTTTTCACCCATGAAGCATGACTCAGTTGACTTACTCCAACAGTGGCAGAGAAAAGATTAGGAAAAATTGCAGGATACAAAATAAATGAAAGTAGGGCAGTTCCGGATGAGGAGGTCAGGTGGAAAAGGTGGCCTACAACACTACCTGCCACCTCCTCTCCTCTTCTCCCTACCTCCACCCCCCTGAAAAGGTGGTCCACTGGGAAACAATCCAACGACACCTTTGAGCTCTAAGGAACAGTTTTGTAATTACTGCAGAATTAGAAAATTATTCATGAAACAACCTGTCTTATTCCACTCAAATGCCCTACTTAATAAAATTACCACTTTCCACTTTAGTATCTTTGTAGGACACACATGGAAACAACAATCTTGCTCAGAATCCAAGTACCAACCTCTGGAGAGGGGACTTGGGGGCAGCACCTCACTGTAGAGGGGGAAATCAGACAAACACATTAGGATGGCTGCAAACATATCCATAAGTGCTGGCATCTTCCTAAAATTGCATGATGTCCTCAAATTAAGCACTAAGGAGACACCAAGAATTCTAGAGCATAACTGGGTTATTCTACAGCCTGTTGGTTCTGAACTCAGTTCAGGTTTTACCACTCTAGTCTCAGCCCTCTACTTATGAGTCTTTCATGTTGGAGGACTCTGGGATCATTTCTGAAGGAGCAGGAAAGAGCAGACCACAGGATTACTTCTAAAGAGGCAAGGGAGCTGGCCTTTTTATACTCCTCCTGGGGATGAAATCCATTCATTGCACCTTTAGCGGACATGTTCCTCAGTGCGCCTTAAGAGTCACAGTAAACAGCAAGGAGGCACTTTAATTCAACAGCAATACAAGACTTATTGTAAGAATTCTGCTACCATGATCTATGCCATTTGTCACAGTAAAGTGAAATTTACCTCTTTGAAATGGCACATGCTCATCTCGTGAACAATAAGTAACATTCATAATTTGTTCATTCTATCATTGTACCAAGAGATTGAAAGAGGAGAATATTAAGCACTGGACTGTTAACTGAAAGGTCAGCTGTTCAAACTCACCAGCCACTCTTCGGAAACCCTATACAGGGTCTCAATGAGTCGTAATAGACTCACCATCACTTAACAACAAAGAAGTTTCCGATTGATGGGAGATCTGACCAAGGGAGGGCCTGCTGGGAAAACTGAGCTGCTGAGGTGCCAAGTAAAGGAGTGGTGCACAGAACCACCACCAACAAAAATGTGATCATGAGAAACACAAACGAGACTATTCCACAGCGCTAGACCATTCCAAAGCTTCCTCCCATCACACGTCTAGGTCTACTGCTCGGTGCCCAGCAGATTGCCCCAGCTCCACTGGTCTTGTTATTCCTCCAATATGCCAGGTTAGATTCTTCCTCAGGACCTGCCTTCCCACCCTCCACTGTGTGGGTTTCTCCAATGCTCCTCCTGCAAGTAACTGTATAGGCTGTGCCTTCATGTCACAAAGGTCCCCATGAGGTGTCACCTGCTCAGAGACGCCTTTCTGAGATCAACCCCACCTCACTGTCTCCTTCATCACATCCATTCCCACTGAGAATGAAAGTCCCATAATAGCACAGCCTTTGTCTTATTTCTCGCCATGCCTGCTACCTAACACAGGCTCTCCCATGTGTCAGGCATCCCAAAAGATGTCAAGGGAGTGACACTAAACACTTGGCTGTACCCGGACGGTGAGTGACAGCTATACAGCCATATTTCTGTTATTACTGAAAGATGCTCCTTAGGTAAACTGTATGTGATAAGTAAATGAATATGAATATGCATTAACAACTATAAATTCTAATTAATCAACTTTCACTTAGGTCACAGAAGAGAGAATCAAGTTCAAAAAACATAAATTCATTAACTTTAATCGTTTCTCTAGAAGAGTGACAATCGTATAACTTAGAGCAATTTCATGTACCGTAGGGTCCTGTGGTTTAGAATGCAAAGGTGACATTCCTACCAGCCCTTCCAGTCTGTCCTCAAAGACCAGCTCCAAAACAAAAGTAAAATTGAGGCAGAAGAGGAAACTGATCATGAAGCCCAAGCCCAAGAACCTGCCAGACAGACCTCCTCTTCAACACATCTCAACAAGTTCTGTAGACTTCGGGCAGTTACTTACATCTTTCAATATCAGAATCTGACTTGCAGCTTTTAGGTATTGCAACTGATGAGTCACTAAGATTGTGATCTTCTCGTGTAAGGTCTGACAAATACACCTGCAAATGTAAAGGCACAACCCCCAACAACACATTAATGCGGGCACTCCAACTGACAAGACACACATTCTGAAACCAAGACAACGCAGTAGCACAAAAACCTGCCGTCTAAATATAAATGCAAATTAAACACACATAGAAACACAACTTACAAACAAATGTAAACCAATGAAGTCTATTAAGTCCTCAAGTTCACAGGCAGCAAGGGTGAGTCTGGCTGTGCTTAAGGAATTGCAAGAGGAACCCCAGCAAAGGAGAGCTGTGAGCCCTACTTTTGTTTAACAATCATACATACATTTGATGCACCCCCCAAATTAAACCCTGAGATTCCAAAATGTGACATCTCAAATACTACTAATTATTTTATCTGTAGAGCAGGAATGGGGAACAGGGAGATGTAAAAATGTAAAATGAGCAATCATGTGTAGGTGATTTATGATGTGCATTTTAAGCCCCTCACCTCACCTCCTCACCAAAACCATAGATTCTAAGAAAATTCTGCCAAAGTGGATTTTCTAAACACTTCTTCCCAAATAATATTAGACATAAAACTAATATTTAAAAAAAAAACACACACACACAAAAATGTTGACATTAGCTTGATCAGACTTACAGCGACCCCATTTGTTACAAAACAGGATTTTCTTGGCTGTAATCATTATGGAAACAGATGGTAAGACCTTTCTTCTATAGTGCCACTGGGTACATTCACACCACCAACCTTTAGGCAACTACTGAAGTGCAGATCATTTGTGCTACCAAGGGCCTTCTACTGCTACACCACACGAAAACGACATGACCCCACTGACAACATGCCCATTCCAACTCAGTGCCATGGTAGGGCAGAATGGAACTGCTCCCCAGTGTATCCAAAGCTGTAATCTTTACATACGTCTATCAACAAGGAACTGCCAGAAATTCAATATGGAACCAGGGATATCATTACTGATGTCAGATCTTGACTGAAAGCAGAGACTACTAGTATTTTCTTGACTATGTAAAGGCATTTGATTGGGTGGATCATAATAAATTATGGAAAACATTGCCACGAATGGATATTTCAGAGTACTAAGTTGTGCTCACAGGGAACCTGTACATAGACCAAGAAGCAGCTGTTTAAACAAAACAAGGGGATACTGCATAGTTTAAAATCCAGCAAAGTGTGCATCAGAGTTGTATACCTTCTCCATACGTATTCAATCTGTATGCTGGGCAAATAATCCAAGAAGCTAGATTATATGAAGAAGAACATGGCATCAGGATTGGAGGGAAATGCATTAACAACCTGCGATATGCAGATGATAAACCTTGTCTTCAAAAAGCTAAGGGGACTTGAAGGACTTACTGATAAAAATCAAAAAATAGAGTATGTACTATAACTAATGTAATGAACACAAAAATCCTCACAGTTGATCCAATAAAAAAACATGATAGATGAAAGGAAAAAAGACTAGAGTTGCTAAGGGTTTCATTTTTCTTGGATTCACAGTCAACTCTCATGAAAGCAGCAGTCAAAAACCCAAACAATGCATTTCACTGGGCAAATCTGTTGCAAAAGACCTCTGTGAAGTATTGATTAAAAAGCAAAGATGTCACTTTGAATACCAAGGTGCACCTTACCCAAGTCATGGTATTTTTCAATCACCTCATATGCATGCAAAAGTTGCACAATGAATAAGGAAGACCAAAAAAGAATCAATGTCTTTGAATTATGACAAATGATAAAGAACATTGAATATACCAAGAACTACCATAGAAATAAGGAGCTCTGGTAGCGTAGTGGTTATGAATTAGATTGTTAATCTCACAGTCAGCAGTTGGAAACTACCAGCTGTTCCGTGGGAGAAAGATGAGGCTTTCTGCTCCCATAAAGATTTACAGCCTCGGAAACACTATGTAGGGATGCTGTGAGTCGAAACCAACTCCCCAGCACATAACAACAACAACCCTAAGAATGAACACATCTGTCTTAGAAGAAGTACAGTCAGAATGCTCTTTAGACATGAGGATATCGAGACTTTGTCTCATGTAACCTTGGACATGTTATCCGGAAGGCCTAGTTCTTGGAGAAGGCTACCGTACTTGGAAAGTAGAGGGTCTACTGTAAATCTGTACAGAGGCAGGCAACCTTATCTTTATCCTAAAGAGAAGCTGGTGGTTTTGAACTGCCAATCTTGCAGCTTGCAGCCAATACTTAACCCACTGTTCTATCAGGGCTTCCTAAAATAGTCTTTATAATGCCACCAGCTCCAGACAGTAAGTCTTCATTCATTAGGACTGAAAACTTCCAATTTTGAAAATAAAAAAAACAAAATCCAAATGTTTCAAATCAAGATAAAAACCATACAATATCTCAGAAGGTATGACAATTCTCTTAGCCAAGACCCACTTCAGTATTTAACTGTGAGTTTTTTTTATAGTAATACTCTCAATGTGCTCATAGGGACATAGTACCAAGCCCAACCCTAGAACCTCTTAGGTAGGCGAGACTCCCCTATTTGGTTGAAATCTTTAGCGAGTTACCCAAGAGTATGTGTTTTGGGATTAAATGTATACTATTAACAAGATTAATGATACTCATTATACTTGTCACTGTTACTAGGCCTATCAAATGTTAAATTACTTCTAATGGGATTTCTCAAAAAATAAACATGCTGCCCATAAAACATACTATGTATATTGTTGTTGTTGTTAAGTGCTGTCGAGTCAGTTCCGACTCATAGCGACCCTGTATAGGGTTTCCAAGGAGCAGCTGGTAGGTTTGAACTGCTGACCTTGTGGTTCACAGTCCATTGCAGTTCCTACAGTCCCACAGCAGCACAAAATATATTCTCAAGATAAACTTGAGCTCTTGCTTTAAGGCTTACAGCCTGACCACAGGCCACGTAACTCCTTCGGTGTGGCCTTGCTCCAAAGTTTCCCCTCATGAATCACTGAAGACTGGAGCCTACCAGAACGACAGCATGCTGAAGAAATCAGATGGTGCCAGGCTACTTAAAAAGGTAGTGTTTGGGGTCTTAAAATCAGTATCCATCTAAAGGAACTCTCAACGAGTCTACACGGAAATAAACCAACCAACCAAAGTGTAGTCTCAGAATTTTAAGTAAAATATTTGATCAGAAGGAGGGAACATATGAGAGTCTAAATTCTGGGGCACTTGTTGGAAGACTGCAATCTACAGCTGGAACCCTAACCCCAGTTTTAGTCTTTACATCAGTCAGATTCTATTTTCAGTTCTTTAAATTACTTCCTTCACTGTAATGCCTATTGGTCGCTAAACTTAACCATATAGTAAAGAAATGGTTTTCTTTGCAGTCAGGCATAGGTGTGAAAGAGTGTACTCTTAAAGAGGGTCTTAATGAAAGACCCTTATCAGACATTTCCTGTGCCTGCAGATGCCAGAAACATAGGCTATCTTACCATCTTGTGATATTCTGATGACTACCCTGAACCCCACTCCCTTCAGAGAGCTCATACTTCTGTAATCCCTGAAACTGTACGCCAATCCTAATGAAAGCCCCATTTGAAATATCCTTCCTGTCCAATCAAAATATTATAAACTAAGCTTCTTAATTTAACCTATAAAAATATATTTGTAGTTGTTCTGCCTCAGATTGCTTGGTTTTATTTCTTGGATTCCACCCCAAAACTCTACAGTTTAAACCAAAGCAAGCCTCTGTAAAATCTCTACTTTTACTTTAAATAGAGGTAGGCTGTCCTTCATTTAACACTAGAAAACTGTAATGGGACACTTCTACTTTGTCACATGGGGTTGCTATATTTAAGAGCTCTTAACCTTCTGCACATGATTTAAGAAAATAAAGGGAAAAAACTCTCAAGTTGATTCCAACTCGTTGTTGTTGTTGTAAGGTGCCATCAAGTTGGTTCCAACTCATAGCGACTTTATGCAAAACTGAATGAAACAGCACCTGATCCTGCAACAATCTCACACTCTTGCTACACTTGAGCCCACTGCTGCTGCCACTGTGCCAATCCATCTCATTGCGGGTCTCCCTCTTTTTTTCTGATTTTCCACTTTACCAAGTGTAATACGATGTTCGTCTCTAAGGAATTCTCCCTCCTGATATTATGTCCGGGTAATATTTTGGAAACCCTTTAGAGGGACTTTAAATCGTTACAAAAGCAAACACCCTCATCTTTCTTCCTCGGAGAAGCTGCTGCCGACCTTGTGGATTGCTGCCCTACACCAGTAACCCACAGGGTCACCAGGGCCCCGTATGGATAGGACCAGATCTCCTTAACATTTACAACATATAGTTGTAGAACTCACAGACCTTAATAACCTTGGGTATAGATTCATGTTTGAAGTAAACCGTTATAGTGGCAAACAGAAGTGTAATTCATTCACTTTTAATACAAAACACTTCACATTTCTAAGCTTCAACACAACCGCCATCATTCATAGCATATTGTTCAATCCAATTTTCTAAGTCGTTGAAAGCATTCTCCAGTTGCTGCTGAGTGGTTTCCTAAATTGCATTCGTGCTCCCTGTCCTAAGTTGCTCCAAAGAATGTGGTTCTGATTAGCAAACAACAATTTTAACAAGTTTGCTTCTATCAAGTGTATATCCAAAGTCATTAAACCTCAAAGGTGCACAAGGACTTTATAAATAACTCCTATGTTCAGAGAAAAACTTGGCAGAGCTTCTGTGACATCTGCTTAGCAAATAGAACGCCTTCCTCTCTCCTCCACAACAGCGCCACCACACATCAGTCTTTGAGTGAGGGAGGATTTGTGTTGACTCACACAGAATGGGTGGCAGAGTTCAGGGTGGGGACCTGGGGCAGTGGGAACAGAGAGGCTGAGCCACTCATGAAGTCACCAAGAGAGTGGGGAATCTCTGCTACAATCCTACGGCCCTATTACTCAACTCAGGCATTTCTCCGTGGAAGAGAAGAATCCATCACATCAGGAATCGGGAGGAGGAGGGGAAGGCAGATGAGATCAGAACTGGAGGTGATGTTAGTCAGCGGACACTGGTCTCTGCATTGAGATCTTCTGATGCTGTATCTTATCTATTGCATTCCGCAGACTCATGTGGTCAAGAAGCAGTAAGAAATCCTAATGAGTCACCTAGTGACTCAGGCTAAGTAGGTATTAGAGACCTTTCATCCCAGCCCTCGGATCTAGAACCCGAGTTCTACTGCCCTCACGGCAAGGGCTCTGCTGGAATCTCTTTACATTTTTGCTACTGAGGACCTACAGCAAACACACCCAAACCCCTGCTGTACAACCACCTAGCCTCTCTCCTACAGTGAGCTATCGCTGCATCGGCCTCCAGCTCAGGATGACCCCATGGACAATGCAACTGAATGGTTGGGTTTTCACTGGCTGGTTTTTCAAAGTACATTGCTGGTCTTTCTGGCTCAGTCTGGAAGCTCTGCTGATACCTGCTGAGCTTCATAGCAACAGGGATGGCAGCTGTGCATGAGGTACTGTGGGCGGGAATCGAGTCTGGGTCTCCTGTACGGAAGGGCAGAATCCACTGCTGACCCAACACTGCCTCTATAACTGTTCTCTCATGCACCCTGCTTGTGCTTATCACCACATTTATACTTCTCCTATTCCCTATACTGGATTCCTGGTGTGGCCCTGAGGGTTAATGTGCTGGACTGCAAGGTCACTTAATGTTGGTTCACGCTCACCAGCTGCTCCCTGGAAAACCTACACAGGGTCGGAATGAGTCAAACTGACTCGACGGCACATAACCACCACATTCCCTATACCAAACAGAACTCAGTCCTTTTCTCAGCCTCCATAAATCCTTCGCCGTCTACAGACCACTGTGGACAGGGCGCTTACTCAGCTGGATGTCTGTAGCTGTCCATTTCTACTTCCATTTATCAATTATCTTATATTGAAATCACCTTAAAAGCTTTGGGTATGCTGAGCTTTTCCCATACATTTGTCTTGGCAAATCTTATGAAGGGATGAATTCCTTAAGGGCAGGAATAAAATCCCAAGTTCCTTGTCTCCCTTTCTCTGCTCAATGTAGATCCTTCATCTCTCTGTGGCTTAGTAGCTTCCTTTGTAAATTACGGTGTTTCGTACAGTAACATCTGTAAGAGCCTCTACACCCATGCCAACAGGAGGACCTCAACACATGCTCACTGATGTGAACAAGGGGAACAAGAAGAAGATAACTGGGCAGGTAGATCAGAGTGCCATTCTAGAAAGAGCAAGCTCATGATGCTTCTGAAAGGACTCGCTGAGATGGCATAGGAAATGTCACACTGCACATGTGAAGATACAGCATGCTCAGAGAACATTCTAGAATTGCTCTGCCTCAGGGGCTAAGCAAAAGTCCCCCTCAAAAAATAAAAAAGAAAGAAAATAGAATTCCACAAATGCAAAATGAGCATCAGGAGTTAAGCTAGATTCTAGATACATAAGTTTGAAATGCAAGTTAAGCCTGCATTTGTGGGTGGTGAGTACGCATTCTAGTAAGAACACATGAACACACAAATTGCTGAAGCCATAGTCTGATGTGAAACAAACCATTCTTAAATGCTAGCCCTCACTACATATTTTCAAATCTACATGATACGAAGCAGAAGCCAATAAAATCCTTCCATGGTAGCCACATATATGCTGGTACTGAAAACATCACTTCTAAAGTACTACATACAAAAGAAGAAAAAACAAAACTCAAGGACCAGGTAAGTGAGTTGCAGGATATCATCTTCCTTGTCTTTGGGCCGGGGACTCCAGCCAGCCAACCAGTCACAGCATCTTGGTTATCGACTGCAAATAGCAGTGACCATCTTCTTCTTAGCCCTCTGCAGCATGCACACGACCCACTTCAACACGATGACAAGTGCTTTCTGTATTTTCCTCTCTTGACCTCCTATTTGTGCCGAATTACTTTAGAATGGCTCTTCCGTGTGCAGAAGAGAAGGAGGGAAGAGCAAAATAAGCTGCATTTTCTGAAGCACAAAGGCTTTCCCCAAGTCTACTGTAAAGGGTGCTTGCAAAGCCGAAGGACACAAAACATGAGCAAACTCACAGTTCGAACAAGTGCCTGCCCACTTCTGCATCGACGGCACTGAGAGGATCATCCAGGAGGTAGATGTCTGCGTCCTGGTACACTGCTCTAAAAGATGTGGAGATATCACACAAGAGAACGTTTCACACTTCCGGACCCTGCCTACCAAATTACAACAGCGATGAACAATCTGGATGTTCATCGCCAAAGAGCAAAACGGAATCACCCAAAACAAGGGCTTCATGCAGTACCCAACACACAGTGAATGGGTTCTATGTGTCCGGGGCTATCACAAAGTGCAGAAGGGTGACATGGACAAGCTTGTTTAATTCACTGTATACACAAAGGCATTAAGGGAACTTGATGTACGTACGGTTCCTGTGTTCACAGCTTTTGTGATATGCATGTGTACACTTAGCAATCAGAACACCTTCCTCTCGGCCCCATAAAGGCGCTAATAATGGAAGGGTCACCAGGAATGGATCACTTCTAAGAGGTGGAGGACTTGTGCTGATACACAGATGGGGTGGCAGATATCTGCGAGTTCAGGTTGGGCAGTGGGGAATCTCTGTGGCCACCCCAATACCCCATCTCTGAACTGAGATTTACCTTGCGAGGTTGACCCGGGCTTTCTGCCCTCCACTCAGTGTGGCTCCCCGATCTCCTATAACAGTTAGATCGCCGTCCTCCAAAAGCTGCAGGTCCTACATGGAGAAAGGAAAAAATAAAGGAAACTCAGCGTAGGTTTTCCTCCTGTCATCCTAAACTTCCAGCATTAGTTCTACAGGAATAAATGTGTCTTGGAGTAAGAGCAATTACTATGTTTCAGAGTGGCTAAATTATAGAGTGGCTAAATTATAACCTTGACCCTTTCAGAATACTCTCTGGGCTTTCTGTTTCGTCTCTGTACTTTTTTACAGATGGATGCATCTAACCAAAACATTCTTATCAATGGAAAAAAGATTGAAGTTGTCGAAGACTTCATTTTTCTTGGATCGACCATCAACAGTCATGGACGCAGCAGTCAGGAAATCAAATGATGTATTGCATTAGGCAAATCTACTGCACAAGACTTTTTGCATAAGGTTGCTGTGGGTCAGTGCCGACTTGATGGCATCTAACAACTAGGTATTGGAATGCTGGTGTGGCGCTGTGGACTAATACGTTGGACTGCAAGGTCTGTTTGAAAGACGTCGGTGGTTCAAGTTCACCAGCTGCTCCTTGGAAACCCTAAAACAGGGTCGCTATGGGTTGGAACCGAATCGACGGCACTTCACAACAATAACTAGGTATAAAGCATTGTTAGGAGGCAGAAAACAGCAGTAAATAAAACAAAGTTCCTGGTGTTTCTCAGGTAGGAGACTGACAATACAGAAGTAAGCAAATGGCTATAAATGAAAATGGTGATCTGTGAGAAAAGAAAAAGTGAATTCAACTTAGGGAAAGAAGGAAGTGAAATCTGTTTTACACAGAAGGCCAAGAAAGTCTCTGATGAGAGAGGCTGTAAGCACAGACCTGTGGACAGTGGAGTAGCTGAGGCTATGGGCAGATGTGTGGTCAGGGTGCTGGCACAAGCAAGGAAGCCAGTACTGCTAGACCAAAGTGAGTCGACAATGGTACAGATGAGGGCAGAGAGGGAGGCAAGACAGGCCACAGTCGTGTCACTGAATGGTACATGTGAGAAAGTTGAATTGGCAAATAAGTTATCTGTATCTTAAAATTATGCAAGGGAGAGATGTGGCAATATTTCATTCTGAGAGGGCTGGGCAGGGGGTCCCGGGGAAGCGACGGCACAATCTGAATTCGGCTCTTACACAATTGCTGTTGCCTCTTTCTGGAATGTAAACTGTCAGGGGCACAGGCAAAAGAAGGATGCAGGCTAAGAGACCACCGCAACAAAGCCTACAATAAATGACAGTGACCAGAGCCAGCGTGGAAAAGGTGACAAGTAGCCATATTCTGGGCACATTTCAAAGGTCGAGTTCACCGGCTGCTAAAGGGACGGATGTGGGTTGTGAGGTGAAAAGAAAAGGCATTAAAGTGTTGGGGGCATTGAGAAAGTTGCTGAGAAAGGGCAGATGGTGGGTGCAGGCTCAGGGGCTGAAATCCGAAGTTCTGTTGTGGGCAAGCTGAGATGACCACTGGGTGTCCAGCAGGTGAAGCCAAGTTGGCAGCTGGATCTGCAATTCCCAAGATGTGTGCACAGACATACGTGTGAGAGCCAGGTGAACTTTTCAAGCCCAGGGACTCAGTGTATCAAGGAATGAGTATGTCCTAACCCAAGCGGTCATTTTGCTGACCTCTGCCCTCCATTTCCCACCTTCAGAGAGAATATCACACCAGACCCATATTGTCATAGTGATATTTACGACACAGACACTGAGTAACAGACAAATATCTGTACAAAAAGTCACATTAGAACAGGCAGTCTGGGCAGAGACACCTAAAGAAAAGGGGCCTATGTGTTCAACAGACACTGACCAGATCGGCTGGACTAATTCCATACTTGCTCCATGCAGTCCAGAGAAAGCTAACAGCTAAGAAGGATCCAAAATGGTGAGTTCAGATTCTGTCAATCTGTCAAAAGCTATATCTTAATATTAATAAATAAACTGACAAAGTATAGTATCTTTGAAAAAAAAAAAAAAAAAGACATGCCTCCAAATGACAAGGTAACAATCAGGTTGAAGTTACACAGTATTATGCTACAAATCTCTCCTTAGATGGCATATAATTATCACTCAGCAGGTCCTAGGCACAGACAAGCAGAGTCTGTTGGTAATGTACATCGTACAAGCATCAACCTCCCACTGAACAGCAATCCAGAACCCAAGCAGTAGAGGAGGCTCTCGTTTCTCCAAGCCTACTTTGGAAAATCTGAGGAGAAGGCAAGTGGCACCTTAGCATTTCTATGACAAGCAAGTCCTTTCATCTGGAGTCTCATTTTCCTTTTCTACAAAATGGGTTAGAGAAACAAGGGTCACTAAATTCAAAGAATGGGGAAAATATGCATACGAACACTCCGCATAAATGGAAATCTCACAAAGTCATTGTTAACTTGCTGCTGGTGACTGATCCATACGTATACACATATATTCTTGTTTATATTCTTGTTTATTCATTTTTTTTCTTTAATCAAGCCAATGAATGTGAGACGCCCTTTAGAGTGTGAAGCACAATAAACTGAGCCAACAAAGACACCCAGAAACACACAGGGCTCTATATATACTCCAAGTCTACGTAAAAGGCAACCAATGATTAGTACTCATTATAGTTTCATGGTTTCTTTATCTCAAAGTTAACACCGTCTCTTACTTTTTTGATATTCCTTAAAGTAAGAGCCATTTTAAGGCAGCTCCCCGGGCTCTCACACACCCACACACACTCAAAGTCACATTCCCTGTTTAGATGGTCTCATTTTATTGTTGACAGTCCGTGTACTATGTTCTGCTTCGTTTTTATTCGCCGATTTTATATTGCTTTGCTGTCTTTCTCAAAATAGCATCAAGTTGGAGCCCAGCAATCTGAGTCATTTTCTGGAGGATGCACTTCAAACCTACTCTTCCCTCTAACTCAGGTCGGGACTGAGACACAGGCTTTCTCTGGGTCTGGCAGGAGAACTCGAGTGTGTTGTTTGACTTTACAGACGATTTATGGGCAAGTCTCTGACAGGAAAAACATGGAGAAGGATTCCAAGTAAACTCTGAGTCCGGCTTATTTCCTAACCACGATTTTCTGCTTTGGTTACATGAAAGCAAGAGCTGAGCATCTATTATAGTTCCTCCCACTAAGAGGAAAGGATTCGTGCTCACATGAGTTACCTATCAGTTAAGTTTAGCTGATTATTTCATCTATAGCTGTTTTTACCCAAATATAAACTAGAGGAAAACCAGAAGCTAGCTATGCCAACTTGAGATTAACACAAAAAATCCAAACCCAAGGCCATCGAGTTGATGTCAATTCATGAGTACCCTATACAGGGCTTCCAAGACTATATATCTTTTTGGGAACTAACAGCATCATTGTTCTCTAGGAGCTACTGGTGGATTTGAACTGAGAACCTTGAATTAAGCAGCTAAACACTTAACCCACTATGCTACCATGGCTCCTAGTTTGAGTTCACTGGGCCTCAAAGGCACCAGAGCACTGGTGGAAACTCAAGAGTGGAAATACCAGTGGGGAGATGGCGGAAGGAGTCCAGAAAGGAATCCACCAGGCTCTGGCAAAGGGCTGGAATGGAGAGACAAATCTCAGGAATCTTATAGCTGACACCTTTTCTTTCATCTGAAACTGCCTTTTCCTAGGAGAGTCAGGCCACACCTGCTCCTCCAATCCTTTCTACTGGGTTCCCAAGTCTTTGTTTAGATTTCTCATGAAGGCTCCACCCTCTCTTTATACGCTTCCTAACTTTATGAGAATACACAGTTTATGAGCTGGAACTGACTCTCTTATCAACAATGTGCTAAAAAAGCAAGTACTTCAAATTCATTCTCCATTTCATCCTCAAAACAGCCATAAGGGGTTGACAATATCTTTATGTCCACTTAACAGATGAAGAAACTGAGACTTTGTATAGTCAAGGCAACTGGCTAATGTGACACATCTAGTAACAAAGAGTGGTTGGTTGATTGGTTATGTGCCGTGGAGTCGGTTCAGACTCACAGCGACCCTCTATCAGGTGTCTGAAATGTTTACAGGAGCAGAAAGCCTCACCTTTCTTCTTTGGAACAGCTGGTAGTTTGGAACTGCTCTGACCTTGAGTTTAGCAGCTCAACTCGTAACCACTACGTTACCAGATACCAAGACGCAATTCCAGATCTAACTCCAGATTTTAGTCACTAAAGCATCATACACTATTGTGTCTTTCTGAGGTGTGTTCTAAAACTAAGGAGGTCTGATGGTGCTTAGAAAATAAACACTAAACTGCGAATAACAACGTCACAGGTTCAAACCCACCAATGGCTCTGTGTGAGAAAGATGAGGCTTTCTGCTCCCCTAAAGATTTACAGTTTCAGAAACCCTATACAGGGTCGCTATGAGTGGAAATCAACTTGATGGCCATGGGTCTGTTTTGTTCTAGCAATAGCTATTTATGTTACACGGAATATGTGCACCTGGTCTGAATGGAGTCTGCTAAATGTAAATTGGTACTTTTCGCATTGTTTTCATTCTTAAGTGTTTTGTACTCAGTAAACTTACATATTTACTAGAATTGTTGTTAGCTACCACTGAGACCATCCCAACTCAGGGCAACCCCGTGGTGGTGGTACGGCGGTTCTGTTAAGTATCATCAAGTCGATTCTGACTCCTAGTCACCCTGTATAGGATTTCAAAGGAGTGGCTGGTGGGTTTGAACCGCCCACACTGTGATTAGCAGTCCAGTGCTTATCTGACAGCGCCACACCAGGGCTCTGTGGACATCAGGATAAAGCACTGCCCAGCGCTGACGCCTGTCACTGCAAACATTGTAAAGTCGGAGAGCTTTCCATCTGTCGCACAATATTCTGCTGTGATCCAGGGACGCTGGCTAACTTTACAAGTAGATCACCACACTTTCTTCCTAGATTTAGTCTGGAAGTTCCAGGGAAGCCCTATGGGTAGAGCTGCCGCTACTGAAGTACAGGGAGCATCACACCATGCAGGTCACCACAACATCACAATACAACAAACTAACTGATAAAAAGGGAGCAGTGAGTTTCCTTAACTCTAGTGTATCTGCGGCTGCTGCTGTTAAATGCCATCAAGTCAATTCTGGCTCATAGTGACCCCATGGGACAAGGCAGAACTGCCCCACAACGGAGTCTAGGCGGATCACCAGACTTTCTCCCATATTAACACCCAGTCTTCCCATCTGACTTTGGTGACAGGCCCTGGGGAAAATTCTGGAAGGCAGCCAATGTCCCCACACATGGGAGAGCAGAAAGGCAGCTGGGTAATGCCAAGAAAAGTCTAAATCCTGGACTGGGTGGAGCCAGACCCGAAGCAAATCAGAGGAAAAGCTTGAAATCTATGTTTCCACTTCTACCTCTATCACCTAATTCTTAAATTAAAAAAAAACAAACAAACAAAAAAAAACTATCCCTTAGAAACTTCCTCAATCGAGAGATTTTAGTGGAAAAGTCTGGAATCTGATGTCATGCGCATGTGATTTTGAACCTGAGCTCTAAGTGTTGGGGTCAGCTGGTCAGGCTCCCTAAGCCTCAGCCTGACCAACTATAAAATCAGGCAACATGGACAGTGACAGAAAGTTGTGGTAAAATCCTACGCTTTTGTGTGCCCATGTGTATGACTGAGAGAGAAATGATGAACGCATGGCGGACCAGGTGTCCTGGTGTCTGCTCTGGGATAAGCACTGGATTGCTAACTGCCAGGTCAGGTTGGTGATTCAAACCCATCAGCTGCACCTTGGACACCCTATACATGATTGCTACACCTAGGAACTGACTCCATGGCACTTAACACACTTAACAATGATAACAACATTATTAGTACTGATTTACTTTTGCTTTCCCCACTTTTCTCATAAAGTGCATGGGGGGGGGGGCTTCAAAAAGTTCATTGAAGAACGGAATTAATTAACAGATGCTAACACTGTTCCTCAAACTTTTCTTCAAATATACAATTTGATCAAAATCAAGCTCTTCACTGTTAGGTTGATATCATTTCTGATAACACAATAACCAATCTCTCATTAGCAAGCTCAGGAGAAAGACAGACTAATCCATTAAATAGAAAATAATCAAAATATTTCATCCATTTCATCATCAAACGCTGCTCACCTGATACAATCCAGGAGATTCTATGATAAGCCATTATTCAAGCAAAATTACTATCTCTTCACAAAGCTGGTTCAGAGCCATCTACTCCAGACCTTTGAAAGGCTCACCTAGCAATTTCCACAAAGTATAAAAGAACCGTCAGATGTCTCGACTGCTTTGAAGAGCTCCTGTGGAGAGTCCCCTAAGGTTTATTATTCCCTGATTTTTATAACCCAAAGAAAGTAACATAGACGACAGCTTGCTAGCCCCTGAAGCCAAATAAATATCCGTATTTACCCGCTCTCTGTTTTTCTAAATTATACTCTCTTGTCGGGTTTGTTCGCTAGGAGTCAGAACTGACTGCACAGCGCTAAGACGACGGTAAATCTGGTATGTTTCGTTTTCATCAACACTCATCTAGTTTAGTTTAATCACAATCTACAGTTAAATACTGCATTTGTCATTTTCTGCCAAACTTGATGTCATGTCTGAAAACAACAATCTCTCCCCCTAGTGAAAATATGCGGTATTAAAATATTTCATTTTCTTCAAAAGCTAAATTGTCAGTCAAAAACCAGCTAACGGGGAAACTTATAGATTGAGAAAGACCTATGGGACCTATCGATAAGGTCAAAGTGCAATGTGCAAACTCTTTCTGAATTGTGATTCACACAGACTGCTCAGATTATTTCTTATGCCATCGTCAAAGAAACATGACCACGGGCTGGAAAGATAATAATATTAAGGGATTTGCTGTCATTTGGGGGAGTGATAATGTGCTTGTTTTGTTTTGTTTTAACAAAAGAGTTTTTATCTCTTAGAGATAAATAATAAAATATTTATGAATGAAATAATGAGATCTAGGACTTCTTTTTGTTGTTGTTGTTGTTGTCAGGTGCCATCGAGTTGGAACCGACTCATAGCGACCCCATGCACAGCAGAATGAAACAATGTCCGATCCTGGGCCAACCTCACTACCGCTGCCACACTTGAGTCCATCAATGATGCCACCTGGCCAATTCATCTCGTTGGAGGTCTTCCTCTTTTTCTCTGACCCTCCACCCTAACCCAGCATGACATCCTTCTCCAACGATTGTTTCCTCCGGACAATATGTCCAAAGTAGGAGAGATGAAGCTTAGGCATCCTGGCCTCCAAGGAGCACTCTGGCTGCACTTCTTCCAAAACAGATCTATTGGTTCTTTAGCCAGTCCATGGCACTTTTAGTATTCTCCTCCAACACCACAACTCAAAGGCATCAATTCTTCTACGATCTTCCTTATTCACTGTCCAGCTTTTGCATCCATATGAGGCTATTGAAAACACCACGGCCTGGGTCAGGCGTACCTTAGTCCTCAAGCTGACATCTCTGCTCTTCAACACTTTAAAAAGTTCCTGTGCAGCAGATTTGCCCAGTGCAATACGTCGTCTGATCTCTTGACTGCTGCTTCTGCGAGTGTTGATAGTTGATCCAAGAAGAATGAAGTCCTTGACAACTTCAATCTTTTCTCCATTGATAAGAATGTTGTTTATTGGTCCAGTGGTGAGGATTTTTGTTTTCTTGACATTGAGATGTAATCCATATCGAAGGCTGTGCTCTTTGATCTTCATAAGTAAATGTTTCAAGTCCTCTTTACTTTCAGCAAGCAAGGACTTCTTTTTAGAGCTTGTTAAATCGGACGCATTCAAACCCTACCTATTGAGATGACCTAGACAAAATGACAGATTTAATAACCACTACTGATGTGGCGCTGTGGGTTACTGTGCTAGACTACAAAGTCGGTTTGAACCACAACGTTAATGGTTCAAGCTCACCAGCCGCTCCTCAGAAACCCTATACAGGGTTGCTATGGAACAGAACGGAATCAATGGCACTTGACCACAACAAACAACAAGGGCCTGTTGCATAATAACTGGGGGTGGAAGTAATAGATGGAACAAAATTAAGTTGTTAAAGGCCACTAACTGATAAAGGCTGAAGAAGAATGATGGATACATCTAAAGGTTCATTACACTATTCTCCCTACCTCAGCAAATTGTTAAGTGTCCCTTTAAAAAGAGTCGGATGTTGTTGTTAAAGTGTAATGAAGTCAGTTTCAACTCACAGCAACTCACACAGGATTTCCAAGGTTTTAACTCTTTCGCAGGCGCAGAAAGCCTCATCTTTCTCCCACTAAAGCTTGATTAGTGTCTATTATTATTGAATTGTTTGATCAAAGATTCTAAAGAAAAATCCTGACCAAAAGGGGGAAAATGCAGAGCAGAATTTCAAATTCTCATAGAATCCGGGCCTTCTGGGGTCAAGTAAGCTGATGAGCTACTGCTCTGAGATCATCTTTAAACCTTAGACCTTTGACCAGCACTAACCCCTGAAATCTTTGAATCATCCCAAAGTTTAGCACAATGAGTAAAGAAAGCCTGCCTTGGGCACTGTGCTTTTTAAGAACTATGTACACTGGGTTGAAGTGGCAGCGGCACCTTTAAAGTTTAGGTAAGAAATTTCTGTCACTGGGGGAAGAACCACATGGAAAAGCCAGGTGAGCATGATTGCATAACTTGAAGAATGCGTGTAGACATTGGTGAATTGGTGTACGCTTGGTTGTGCATATTTTCAACAATCAAATCCATTTATTTTTAAAAAGATTAAAAATGAGCAAAACCTCCTAACACAAAACCAAAAACGCATTCTGTGAAATATCACATCGACTAAAGTAACAGTGTGTACATGTGTGTCTCGTGTAACCCAGAAGACTAGCTGGAAACTACTAAATAATGTTCCTAGTTCTTTTAAAATAAAAACAAAGTTTTAATAACCCTGTAACTTAAGTTAAAATTAGCAGTTAACCAGCAGTAAGACGAGACCTGGGGACTCCTGGGCCCAGGAGCAGGGACATGGCCCCAGAGGACTAGAACGAAGTTGAATCATCCAGCTGATATACAGTGAGGGGGGGATACACAAGAACAAACACACTTGCAGATAGTACCCATTTGACCTGGCATCAATGGCTGGATGACTAGAACACAATGAGAGGAAGAAAGAAGATGGGGGGAAAAAAATAGGAGTAACCAACTATAAGTGGATGAACTTGACCTATGTTTGTAGATGCAGTATGACAAAAGAGCAGACAAACCTCTACAGTGAAGATCATTCCCACCCCCTTGGTACACAGGGTAGATAGGGAGGGGGAACTTAGACATTGGCTACCCAAAATGGGGGGACTACAAAGGCAAGAAGTGACTGGCTTACAAGCTTTCAATAGGGAACCTAGATCCAGAGGACACAGGGAAAGGTAGAATCTCCACTGAATTGTTTCCAACCTGTCTGGATAGGGTTGATAAAAGGTGAGGGAGAAAGGACTCCTGTGGTCAATAAGGAATGATTGCTATCAGGTCTGACAGTGAGTGTTGAAAAGGTAAATGTAAATGTTTTGTAACAAAAGGAAGGGAAGGGCTGATTTTGCAGTCCAGGAGCAGAGATCCCTAGAACCATCAAGGGAGAAAAGCAAAGTATGAGACCTTGTCCAGAGAGGCAGTGACACTAGGGATGGAGGTAGAGGTGATGACATGGACAGAAGGAGTGGCTGGGGACTCTGAACTCAGGGAGGGAGAAGGGTTGTGTGCTGGTGGCCGGGGGCAGGTGTGTGGGGTGTAACCCTTTGGGTGTGTGATGATACATGCAGGGGACTGTGATCATTTCAATGAAACAAAATACGATAGGATGAATGTAAAGATAATGTTCACCCATGTAAACTAACACATAATCCACAATAATAATAAAAAAAAAAAAAAAAAAGGTTAAGATTAGCTGATTCTAGTATTTGAGATTCAAAACTTACCTTTTTCAAGGCACAAGCCTTTATAACTTTTTCGTATCGTTCCTTTTCGTATTTCTTCCCGAATAGAATATTACTCCTCACAGTTCCAGAAAATACCCAGGGCTGCTGGGAAACATAGGCAATTCTTCCATGCACATTGACCAGCCCCTGAGTGGGGGGCAGTTCCCCCAGCACAGCACTTAACAGCGATGACTGAAACAGATCGAAACAAGCACACGCACACCATGAGCACTTAAGACAGGACAAGCCACTGTAATACAGCCTCCCCTCCGCCCTGTAGCCTTGATCGTAGTCCTTTTGTGTAAAATAGTGGGGGGAAACCACAGCACTGGAAGTTACAATAAGAAACAGAGACACTACTGATCAATGCAAATTAACACTTTGAGCCATGTCAATAAACTAAATAATAATACCAAATCGGGCGTAACATTCTATGCTGCCTCTAAGAGTTCCCCCCAAATGAAAAACTGTATTGAATAATGACTAATTAAGAATGTTTGCAGTGGCAGTTATTGTTGCTGTTGTTAAAAACCATCGATTGATTCGTTTCCAAATCATAGTGACCCTGTGCAGGGTTTCCAAGAAGCTGCTGGTGGGTTTGAACCACTGACTTCGTGGTTTCCAGTCCAATGTTTATCCTACAGTGCCACACCATGAATCGCAACAGAGCATCTCAAATCGTTAAGCAAAGCAGTTGTTTCTCCATCCAGATATCCTTTGTCTCACAAAGGGGTTGTTCCTGAAAAGCTACATGTAAATAATATATCCAATGCATGGGTCAAGATCGCAATTTAATGGAATTCTGAAGCAACTCATGATTCCGAAGAACAAACGTCCACTGTAAAGGAAATCAACACCCTCCCATATATATATATATATATACATTCTGGCGTCCTGGTGTGGCACTGTGTGCTAATGCACTAGATAGCAAAGTTGGTCTAAACACAAGATTGGCAGTTCAAGCTCACCAGCTGCTCCTTGGAAACTCTACAGAGGGTCACTATGAATTAGCATTGACTCAACAGCACTTCACCACCACCACATCTATACATCTATACATTGTACATTTAGATGTCTGTATTTTGTTAGTGTCGAATGTATGAGCCTGTGTGTGCGTGGAGTCTTTGACAACAGCCACGTGGCATGTCTGTGCACACACCTTGTTCGCATGAAAGCAGCAGCATCTGTTTGTTTCTGTCTCCCCCAGAACCTGGTGCTTCTAGAGGGATAAGATATCTTGTTTATATTTGTGTCTTTTGCTCCCTAAATACACAGATATGTATCTATGTATGACTTGGATAAGTTGATATGTGTTGAATAAGTCACATGAGGATGTGTGTAAGGTCTCTCAGAAGCATCTTTTCAACTTCCAGACATCCTGGAGCATCGAGGGTCAGCTCGGACAAAAAGGAGTCCCCACTGTCTCAGTCAGGCCATCCCTGAAGAGTGACCACAAAAGTTGGTTTCCTTCACTGAGATGTCTAACTAGTAGATAAGGGTTTCCCAAGAAAGCAGTGTAGAGTTTCAAGTAGGAAAACATAATAAATATACATTATCAATGTCATCTTGCTGAAAAACGAATGTTCCATGAAACTCACTTTGGGAAATGCCGGTCCAGAAACACCCAATTCAAAATTGTGTTACACAGAACTTAGGCTCTTAGGGGCACCAAGCTATCAAGAAGCACTGAACTTACTTTTCCTGCTCCCACGGGTCCAACCACAGCTAGCAATTCACGGGGTCTGACAGTGAAGGATAGACCTTGGAGAGTCGGGGTTTCTGATGCCTACAAGTGAAAGTTGGAAAAAACATGCTCGTTTCAAAAAAGTAACACAGATCACTTCAAAAGCCGAGAAAAACAACACAATCATCACCAACGCATAAACACAACTCACATAGTTTTTCAATCCTATTTTAAGACATTGTCTTCTGGAGACCCTTTTAATCCAACCCAATTCCTGTGTTCTCTGGAAACCGTCTTCTTCGACTACATTCCCAGATGCACACCGCTCTAGATACTGATAGAACTGACGTCATAGAAAAGACAAGGCACTCTTCTTAAAATGAGAGCCCTTTGGTGTACACTAAAATCCTCACATCACAATAGAAGACTATTCAGGGTAGAAGGTTTTGAATCATTCATAAATTTTCATTATGAGTCCTGGCTTTTAGTTATCTATTTCAATAGCCTCCACAAGGTGGCAGCATAAGTACATGGCAAGGCCAGCCCTTGCCTGGATCGTTTGAAATCTGCACTAAACTCACCATGTTTACTGATCAGTGAGTGGTCAGTACTGCTCAACAGAAGAATACACTTCACATTATAAAACCTCTCCTAGCAAACTCCAGCAATGGAGGGCCAGTGCACCCAGAGTCCTAACTGTTAACTGCAACAGATGGGGACTAAAGAAATGAAGGATAGGATCATGTGCTCAAGCGATAAAGTCTCAGTATTATACATACATGATCCACCCAGGATACGTGAGGACAACAAAGAACTTCCACCATAAAGAAAAAACAAAACAAAAAACAAACATCCACAACACACAAGGGAGCTTCAAAAAGTTCACGGCAAAACTCCATTATCTTTTCATTCCATATTCTCCATAAACTTTCTGAAATCCCCTCACACCACCGTCCAAAGTAAAAGGGCAGGAAGAAGGCAGAAGAACTCATTACGCTAGTCAGAAATCCCATTCCTGAACAATCTGATAATTTTAAGATGAACAGATTTGAAGATTTCCATGCAATTTTAGGGTTTTCTCAACTGAGTGTCTCATCAGAAACTGATGAAAAAGCTAATGTTTTTCACACAGGCCAAGTGTCCATAAAAGTCTCACTAACTGCTAACATACTTATGTAGTCTGTATGATGAGCAAATAATCTGAGAAACCGGATTATATGAAGAAGAACATGACATCAGGATTGGAGGGAGACTCATTAACAACCTGTGATATGCAGATAATACAACCTTGCTTGCTGAAAGTGAAGTGGACCTAAAATACTGATGAAGATCAAAGACCACAGCCTTTGGTATGGGTTGCACCTTCATGTAAGGAAAAAAATCTTCACCACTAAACCAATAAATAACATCATAATAAATGGAGAAAAGTTGAAGTTGTAAAAGACTTCATTTTGCTCAAATCGATCATCAACACTCATGGAAGCAGCAACCAAGAAATCGAATGGTTTTTTTTGTTTTTTTTTAATGCAAATCTGCTACACAAGACCTCTTTAAAGTGTTGATGTCAGTTTGAGGACTAAGGTGTGCCTGACCCAGGTCATGGTATTTTCAATATCTTCATATGCATGTGAAAGTTGAAAAACAAATAAAGAAGACCGTAGAAGAACGGATGCATTTAGTTACGGTGTTGGAGGAGGATATTACAAGTACCATGCACAGCCAAAAGAACAAACAAATCTACATTGGAAGAAGTACAGCCAGAATGCTCATTAGAAACCAGGATGGCCAGACTTGGTGTCTCAAACTTTGGACATTTTATCAAGAGGGACCAGTCGCTGAAGAAAGACATCATGCTTGGTAAGCGGAGGATCAATTAAAAAGAGAAAGACCCCCAATGAGATGGATTGCACAGTGGCAGTAGCAATCAAGAGCAGCAATGATCATGAGGTTGGAACAGGCCCAGCCAGTGTTTCGTCCTGTTGTTCATGGGTGGTTGTGAGTCAGTACCAACTTCATGGCACCTAACAACTGCTAATAATAATCTTTAAAATATATGTTTTACAGTTTCTCTGTTGTTTACTCTTTAAGCAATGAAATCTTATTAACTGTTTACAGCGAACTTTCAAATATTAGAAAATCAGTTGGGAGGATTAAAGTGGAGCAGGGGGTGGATTTAGTATAGCATGTGGACCCAAAGGAGAAAGTTTTCCTTTTCTCATTCAATTGCCACCATTACTTTGAATCATCTACTTTTTAGGCAAAAGTCAGATGGCATAAATGAGTAGAAAGGATGGTTTTAAACTGAGAGTACAGAATCTCAAGAGTCCTATTTTCCAAATATAATAACTGCTGTCTAAACCCAGATAGCAAATAGATCGAAAAACAGCAACTGGTGAAACTGAAGGAAAAGTAGCTGGTACTGGGGGATAATTCGGCATGGGCTTTATTATCCCTACAATTATCATCTCTATCTGTATTATCCATGGGGAGGTAACAGATGTTAACCACCTTCTTCTGCAGCATGCTAGAGAAGGGCTCTGGCGTACTTGACGGTAGAGAGACGTAGTTACGTGCTGCTCAGCAGTATACCCTATAGGCCACCTGCTTGCTCTAGCAGAGGGATGAGGCTGGGAAAAAGCAAACCTACAGCAGCTTATTTTGGTCAGTTTAACAAATACTTAAGCTGCACACACAGATAAAAATCTGCACTGGATATGAGCCCCCACGAGTCTCGCTCTTCACCACCTGTAGGAGATTAGTAAAATGTCCAAAAGACTGAGAGCCAAGGAGAAGAAATAAACAATTTGGGGGATCTTCAAAATAAAAAAAACTTTTCTACAACAACAGAAGTGATTCTAAAATGTTGTTGTTTATTGTTGTTGCTAAGTGCCATTGAGTCGGTTCCGACTCATAGTGACCCTGTATAGGATTTCCAAGCAGAGACTGGGGTAAACTTTGAACCGCTGACCTTGTAGTTTAAACCAACCTTGTGGTCTTGTGCTTATCGTACAGTGCCACGCCAGGGCTCCAATTACAAAATTGTTGTTGTTAAGTATCGTTGAGTCAGTTCTGACCCATAGCGACCCTGTACAGGGTTTCCGAGGAGCAGCTGGTGGGTTTGAACTGCCGATCTTGCGGTTTGCATTCCAGTGCCGATCCTACAGCACCACACCAGGACTCCCAATTACAAAACAGTTGCTTACTATTCGTTTTCATTGCAATTAAACTAGAATTTCATTTCACTGCAATTAGCCCCAGAATTTATAGGGATTATATAAACTATCAAGGAGTCCTGGCAATACGGTGGTTAAGTGTCTGGCTGTGTTCAAACTTACCAACTGCTCTGTGGAGAAAGATGTTTGCTGCTGTAAAGATGACATCCTAGGAAACTATGGGCATTCTACTCTGGAGAGGGCCAAGAAGGGTCATTATGAGTCAAAATTGACTTGGAAGCACACAATAACAATTTCTTTTAGGAATTTAGGTACCGTCGAGTCAGTTCTGACTCATAAAGGCCCTATGCACAATAGAATGAAGCTGAACAACACATTTCTCCACTCCTTCCTAGATGCCTCACGACTGGTGGTGGTTATGTGCCGGGGAGTCAGTTCCGACTCATAGCGACCCTGTACAGGGTTTCCCAGGCTGTAAATCTTGACGGAAGCAGAAAGCCTCATCTTTCTCCCACGGAACAGTTGGTAGTTTCGAACTGCTGCCTATTTTACTATTTTTATTAAGCTATGACTGAAAAACAATGAGTCACAAACAAAACTCAGATTCGCGTCAGGCACCTCATAGCGTTTCTTGTGAGGGCCAGATGGGGTGGGTTCCTTCCCTATCAGTAGACTTCTGGTTGGGAACACTGCTTTAATGCTCCCAGAAGAGGGCAACAGTCAACAGTTAAAGGGCTCTTGTCCCTGCTCTTCCATTAATCCTGCTCTGCAGATGGGACAGACAGCGAGACAAGCCAACCGATGCAGTAAGTCTTGACTGAGTCAATGATGAATGTCTACTAACTCTCTCTGCTCAGCATGTTCTTCATTCTCCTTCAAGCTTCTCTTCTCTCCCCAAAACCTAAATGTCTACACTCCAACTTCCACCCAAGGGCGCTCTGAACCATCTCCTTGTTGTTAAGTGCTGTCGAGTCAGTTACGACGCATAGTGATGCTGTAGAGGATTTCCAAGGAGCAGCTGGTGGGTTTAAACCACAGACTTCATGGTTTGCAGTCCAGTGCTGATCCCACAGTGCCAGGAGATAGACTGATGTAGTTCTATCCTTGGAGTCCTGCTGTGGTGCTGTGGGTTAATGTGCTGGACTGCAAAGTCAGTTTGAACCGCAAGGCCGGCGGTTCAAGCTCACCAGCCACTCCTTTGAAACCCTACACAGGATTACTATGGGTTGGAACTGACTCGATGGTGCTTAACAACAACAATTACAAATTTTGGAGAAAGACGACATTTTCTGCACCCACAAAGATTTAAAGCCTCTGAAACCATATTTAGAGTCTCTAATGGAGCGCTGGTAGTGTAGTGGTTATGAATCGGGCTGCAAACCACAAGGTAAGAAGTTTGAAACTACCAGCTGCTCCGCGGGAGAAAGATGAGGCTTTCTGCTCCCATAAAGATTTACAGCCTCGGAAACCCTGTGCAGGGTCGCTATGAGTCGGAACCAACTCCACGGCACATAACAAGAGTGAGAAACGACTCAATTGCATATAACAACAATTATCCCCTCAGGTAAGCATCACTGCACAGACAAGGCCAAGGCAACAGAATGAGGCACTCTGGACCACAACAGAAAGTTTAAACAACAACAGCAAAAAAAATGTAGTAACATGTTATTAAGTTCTTGGGAAAAGACTTCAATAGCTCATCTTACAGTGTTACAGATATGTGGTACTGGGTCATACAATGCATGTGCTACCCTGCTCAGTGAGTGCTCTTTCTAACATTCACATATGGAACTTTAATGGTATTTTCTACATACCCTTGTGTGACACTGTAAGATAAGCACTAAACTTTGACCCATACGGTCTGTGGTTGAAACCTACCAGATGCTCCTCGGGAACCCTACACAAGGTTGCTGTGAGTCGGAATCAGTGTGACAGAACTTAACAACAGCAACAACATGTCCTTAAAGTTCATTATGATAAGAAATGCCAATCAGTAGGAAAGCCTACTGTATTAAAAGCTTGGGAGAAATTGTTAGGTTAGGTAATACATTCTGTTTGAGTTTCAGTGTGCAGAAGGCAAAGTGATGTCGTTTTATATATTTGGGGACATTCTACTGTCTGGCTGGTTGATATTGTCAGCACATTAAATCAAAAACAGTCCTCTGTGATGCAGGAATCACAAGTCTTAGAGTCACAAGAATGGAAGGAAAGAAACAATCTATAGAATTTCAAAGAAACCCTGGTGGGGCAATGGCTGTGTACTACTGACCGAAAGTTGGAAGTTCAAACCCATCAGCCTCTCCATGGGAGAAAAGAGCTGGTAATTTGCTCCTGTAAACATCACAGTAGAGAAAACACTGTTACATAGGGTTACTATGTGCTTTCAGGATGGGCTGCACCTCAATGAAAAGAAAACAAAACCTCTCACAACTGAACCAATAAATGACATCACGAAAAATGGAGAAAAGAGACTGAAGTTGTCATAGACTTCATTTTGCTCAGATCAACCATCAACACTCATGGAAGCAGCAGTCAAGAAATCAAACGACGTATTGCATTAGACACATCTGCTGCACAAGACCTCTTTAAAGTGTTCAAGAACAAATATGTCAGTGTAAGGACTAAGGTGCGCCTGACCCACGCCATGGTATTTTCAATATCCTCATATGCATGTGAAACTTGGACAGTGAATAAGGAAGACTGCAGGAAAACTGATGCTTTTGAGCTATGGTGTTTGAAAAAAAATATTGAAAGTGCCATGGGCTGCCAGAAGAACAAACAAATCTATGTTGGAAGAGGTACAGCCAGAATGCTCCTTAGAAGTCAAGATGGTCAGACTTTGTCATTCATAGTTCAGACATATTACCAGGAGAGAACATTCCATGGAGAAGGACATCATATTAGTTAAATGGAGAGTAAGTGGAAAAGTGGAAGATCCCAATGAGGTGGATGGGTACAACAGCAGGAGCAATGGGCTCAAGCTTAAAAATGATTGTGCGGATGGTGCAGGACCGGGCAGTGTTTCGTTTTGTTCTGTTGTGCATAAGGTCACTATGGGTTGGAATTGCCACAAAGGCACCTAACAATAACAACCTAAGTCGGAATTGGCTTGAGGGCACACAAGTTTCAACATTTGCACCACCACCATTTCTACCACTAGGGGGAACCAGAATGGAGAAGGGAAGGTAAACTAGTCAAGGGTCAGTTAGCCTTTCCCTGCTTATGTTCTGTATCAGAATCTCTGGGAATTGGCTACTGCAAACTTCATTTCCCAAACCCCCTTGCCAATTCAATCCAGTTCAGCCATAAAGACAGTGGTCAGTGGTCGGAGACTTGGAAGCAGTCGGGGATAGGTCTGCCTGCTTCAAGCAGCCTCTGCCACAGTGGTTCATGGGCTCCAGTCCCAGCGGCCACAACACAGCCCACCCCCTCTGTGGTCTCATACCTGGGCCCTGGTTCATGGGTTCTGCTCCCACCAGGAGGCCCTCTGGTAGGCTCCACCTCCCCCTTATGGTCCTGTATCCCTGGAGGTACCAGCAGCCTCCTGCTGACACATTTTTAATCTCTGGTTACCTCAACAACCACGATTTGTTTTACCCTTTTTGCTCTTCTTTTCCCTCTTTCGTCATCCTTGTAACCAGTTCCCTGAATGATACTCCCTTTTCCAAACAATGGGCTGTGAGTCCCGTTTTCCCGACTGGACCCAGTCTGATCCAGGAGGGCTTGTCTCAGTCTAGGTCCACGAAGCTATGAGGTGAGAGTGTGAGCTGTAGGTGAAGGGGATGTGCTGAGTCTGCAAGTCTGAGAACTTCCCGAGTGGCCCTGTTGTTTTTTTTTTTGGCTTGCCTGAATGTCACAAATAAACCAAGTATTAGAAAAAACCTTGCTGTCCCACCAGCCAGCTCTCCACAGTGAAATCCTTGCCCTGAGACTCAGTGGGACTTGCGCCCCCAGCTGTTAGTTCCCGGCTGCCCTTGTTGTTTTGATGTTGTTTGACTTACAGTGACCTTATGCACAACAGAACGACACACTGCCGGGTCACGTGCCAACCTCAACGTTCAATGTTGTCACTACTGAACTCACTGCGGCTGACATTGTGCCAATACACCTCTTTTCCCCTGATTCTCCACTTTACCAAGCATGATGTCCTTCTCCAGGGACTGGTTCCTTCTAACAACAAGTTCAAAGTAAGAGAGTCGAACTCTCACCATCCTGGATTCTAAGCAGCATTCTGGCTATACTTCTTCCAACACAAACTTTCAACACAGTTGTTTTCCTGGTAGTCTATGGTACTTTTAATATTCTTCTCCAACACCAAAACGCCATAATGCAAATGAATCAATTCTTCTATGATCTTCCTTATTCGCTGTCCAACTTTCACATGCATATGAGGCTAATGAAAATACCATGGCTTGGGTCAGGTGCCCCTTAGTCCTCAGAGTAACATCTTGTCCATCACCAAAGGCAGCAACACAACCCACAGGGCTTATGACATGGGAGTTCCTGCCTCAGCTTGCGGGAAAAAATCCAAATCAGGCGCCTTTGTCAATACATAAGAAGAAGATCTGATAATGCTAAGGTAAAACAAGCATTGCTTCCTCAAAGCTTCTCATCTGCAACACTTAACAATTCTGTTTACTAGTTCGCAGCTACCTGTCCAATCCTGTAAGTTCCAACATTACAAATGTCTCAACTTATGTACATTAACTTTAAAATAAGGTGACAATCTGCAAATTTGGGGGAAGATTTGGGAAATAACAACTTGTCTAACACCTTCTTCTGATTTTATATTTAATCTCTACTTACCAAAATCTTTATTCCCAATTTTGAGAATTTGTATAAGCATACTTATAATGAGTGAGCAAATCACATTTTATATCAAGTGGACTCAAAACTTGACCCAGATTCAACAGCATCAGCAGTTTTAGACATAATGATCTTGCAGTGGAGGGTTTGTTACCTTATCCCAAAAAGCAGTGAAGTCTTGGACATGCACTAACATTTTACCATCAGACGGCAGCTGAGTGTTGCGCTGTGAAATCTCATCAAGTAACAGAAAGTTCTAAAGAAAAAGGAAAAATAAAGACTGCTCAAAATGCAGAAGCAAAAATCATTGCTTTCCAAGAATTTGTGATACAAAATTTAATACAGTCTCACTATCGGTTTACCAAATGGAGTTAAAGCATTGATTCACATCAGAACATTAAACTACATATAAGGTTGTGTATGAATTCGTCAATGTATATGACTTGTTGAATGTAAAGCTGAAGATCTGCTCTGTAAATCTTCATCTAATTCACAATTAAAACTTTTTTTAAAAAAATATGGAAAACGTCCATTGTCTTAGTCCCCTCCACATACGTTGTTGAGTCGGTTATGACTCATGACAGCCCTGTATAGAGTTTCCGAGGAGCTGCTTATCCTACAGCACCATACCAGGAGTTCATCCTACATATGTTGTTGTATATATACATATATACATATATACATATATACACACACACACACACATATATATATATATATATTGTTGTTAAGTGCCATCAAGTCAGTTCCGACTCACAGTGACCCTGTATAGGGTTTCTGAGGAATGACTGGTGAGCTTGAATTGCTGACCTTGAGGTTCAAACCGACCTTGCAGTCCAGCACATTAACCCACAGCACCACAAGACCCCCATATACATATACACACACATACAAACACACACACACACATGCATATATACAAAGACACATAACAAGATTTAGCTAGTTAGTTAGTTAGTGGCCATGAATGAGGTGGTATCTTTCTTTCTCAATAAATGCACTGAGAAAAAGTATTGCTCCAAACTTGTACACATTTCAAACCTAGGCATTTTTATTGTTTTATTTCTGTACAACAAACAATGAGAATACAAGCTGGTAGGAAGTCATTGAATATGTATGGAATCCCCACCACCTGCCAAGGTCCATGCTAGATGCTGGGGACATAAAGATGAAGCCATTCATTCTCAGGCCTTCAGGAAGCTCAGCCGGCCCACAGGCCAAGTTGTGAACAACAGACTGGCGAAAAGACTCCAAACAGAAATCCCTGGCTCTGTCCATGTGGACTGTGTGTCCTTTAGCTGAACATTCGGCTCATTCTGCTGCCCTTTTGCTGTGTGTCAAATCACCACACTTCCATCAGTCACCTGTCCTGATGTGGTGACTTGTGATTCTCGAAGTTATTCCATTAGTATTCCAGACAGGTTTCAGTGGACCTTCCAGATTAATGCAGACTAGGAAGAGGGGCCAGGTGATGTATTTCTGAAAATTAGCCAATGAAGAGCTTATGGACCAAAACAGAATACTGTCTGACTCGCTTGCTTTGGATATCTCATCCGGATAGACCAATTGCCAGAGAAGGGAGCCATGTTTAGGCGAGAAAGACGCTCAGTGGGGTGGATTGCAAATCAAGAGCATGACGCAGGATCAGACAGCATTTCCTTCTTTTGCATGTAGGTCACTAGAGTCAGGAGATGTCTCGATAGTTACTGACGTGTTTATAGATGTGTAGGTTCATTCTGCTCTTGTTCTATATGTAAAATCAATACACCAACACTTGTCATTCATGATCCCTTAAGTCGCTGTTCCATAAAAAAAAAAATGTTCTTGTTGAGTTTCTGTCTCTTAAAACACATTTTATAGCATCTTTTCATAATCACTTGTCTTTTCTCCTTCGTCGTTTCCTTCGCCTCAGCATTCCACACTAGTCAGAAGCTACACACAAATAGTATTCTAACTAAATAAAACCAAGTCATGCTAATCATGACAAAACTAAGGACTTAAAAAAGGAAATTCCCTCTTCGTCAGAAAAGAGTAAGCTACAATAGGATAAAAATGGCATAAATACCCCATTCCACCCCCCAAGTATTTGACCACTTTTATGTGGGCACATTGGCAACCTAGACAGACGACTACTCTTACCGGCTGCAGTATCACACCACCACCAAATTCAGGCCAGTGTAACATGGGAATTTCTAGAAACCTTCCTCCACAGTGCTGCCTGGACCTTGGGTGCCGTCGTCTTGGACAAGACCACATGTAATGATGTTCTAAGAAAACAAGACTCTAGACCCCTAACACCACAGAGCACCATGGGAGCATGGACCCCTACGAGAAGTTTTGCATGAAAGAAAAATGAAGCACCATGTGTAAGCGCCTAAAACATGGGCACCCTATAAGCCAAGGGCAAAACCGGTGCTATTGTTTGTTGCCATCGAGTTGCCTCTAACTCATGGTGACCCCACGTCCAACAGAATGAAACACTGACCAGTCCTACACCATGTTTACAACCATTGGTCTGTTCACGTCCATTGCTGTGGCCATTGGGTATCCTGAGTACCATCATCTTCCAGCAATATATTAGCTAATATTCTGCTGTGATCCATGATATTTTCTTTGGTTAATTTTTAAAAGTAGATTACCCGGCCTCCCTTCCTAGTCTGTTTTGGTCTGGAAGCTCTGAAACCTGTATACTGGTGGTATGGCTTCCTGCATCACAGCAACATGCAAGTCACCGCAGTGCAACACACTGACACACTGACACACCAACATAGTGACAGATAAAACGAATCGTAACTAATAGACGGCACTTAACACCAATTAATATAAGAAGTAACTAAAATTCACATGTGAAATGTGCAAAAAAGAGAAAAGAGCATACAAATAAGTCATCTACTACTTTGAAAACTACCACCCAAATGGAACCTACTGCCATCAGGTCGATTCCAACTCATAGAAACCCTGCAAGGCAAGCTAGAACTGCCCCATAGAGTGTCCAAGGCTGCAATATTTACAGAAACGGATTGCTTTGGGTTGGCAACAAAGCGCTTTAACCACTGTGCCAACAGGACTCCAAAACATCCTTTCTGTCCTTAACATTCTTGTCTGTCACTTCACAAAGCTATGGCTTGACTGTAACTTTCTACCTCAAAAGCACAGCTGATAAGACATAAAGTAGACAACTATCTCTGGGTTGGAAAAGTTATAAGAAGTCCATCCACTCGTTCCTAGGCAGGAGTTGCTCATTCCGTCCATCACTTATCTGGCCACCCAGCCTTACCGAGAACCTATGCAGGAATGGACACTATGATCTATTTCTCCCTGCCGCCAAGCCCTGCCTAACAGGTTAGTGCAACACAGACAGACCAGCCTGCTGCCACCTCTGAGTCTTTAAACCCACAGCTTCTGACTTCTCTCCACTCCACCTCTATCTCCCCGACAGTTTTCAGAGTGGTAGATGACTTACTTGTATGTTATTTTCTCTTTCTATTGCCTGTTTCTTGTCTATTGTGCCATAATTCATCCCAAGTCTTCACTCTTCTTAACACAACAACCCAATGGTTACGAATCAGGCTGCGAACCTTAAGGCCAGCAGTTCGAAACTACCAGCCGCTCTGCGGGAGAAAGATGAGGCGTTCTGCTCCCATAAAGCTTTACAGCCTTGGAAACCCTGTACAGGGTCGCTATGGGTCAGATCCGGCTCGACGGCACTTAACAACAACAACAACATTCTTGTTTGAAATACTTATATCATTTTTTCATGGGACTTCCCAGTTCCTTCCCAACATTCCCAGCACCACAACACCTATCCTAAATTGTTGTTGCTGTTAAGTACCTTCAAGTTGGTTCCCAAGCATGAGATCCTGTTTAAGATTTCCAAGGAGCGGCTGGTGGGTTTGAACTGCTGACTTTACAGATCAAACAACCTTGTAGTCTAGTGCATTATCCTGCGGTGCCACACCAGGACTCCATGTGGCACTGTGGGATAAAGTACTGGATTGCAAGGTCAGTTTAAAACTGCAAGGCCGTTGGCTCAAGCTCACCAGCCACTCTTTGGAAACCCTATGCAGGAACCGACTCGACAGCACTGAACACCACCACCAATGATTTTCCTTGATCACCTCTGATGAATCCCATCCTCAAAGCCTATGCTCCCCAATGTTATCTCCCACCATCCTATCCTTGGAAGATCATCTCAAATGTTAATCCTATGGGGAGTCAGTTCAGAATGCCCCCAGCAAGTACTAATCACTCCATCCCTAAACCTACATGTTGTTGTTGTTGTTGTTATGTGCCATGGAGTCGGTTCCGACTCATAGCGACCCTGTATAGGGTTTCTGTGGCTGTAAATCTTTACGGGAGCAGAAAGCCTCATCTTTCTCCTGCAGAACAGCTGGTAGTTTCGAACTGCTGACCCTGATGTTAGCAGCCCGATTCGTAACCACTACGCTACCAGAGCTCCTTCATAGACCAGGTTATTCACAGACATCTTAATCTCATTCATATCAGCAAAGTTCCAACTCTTGTCACCCAGCGAGGCCTCACACAGAAGAGGCATCACATCATAGACATGGTAGTGAGGGAACACATGGACCATACAGCTGCTTTGATCAAATCATTAACTTCATTGCTATCACTTCAAATTGTACAAGTTAGCAGGGCCACAAACTACAAGTTACATGTTATAAATCTTGCCTTAACAGAAAAATTTTCTGATTCTACCTTAAGTATATTATCAAAAGACATAAATGTTAATATCCGGTGATGCCTATTAGAATATCGATTCTCCAATTTCCAGAAAATAGTACACCTAGAAAGTGAGGAAGTGAAATCTATTGAGCACTCATCCATTAACAACAGGTCTGAATGGAAAAAGCAGTTACAATCTCCCAGCCGTTCAATGAGACTCCATACAACACAGGAACATAAGGCAAAAGTGTCATAAGTGCTGCCTGGATTGCTCGCTCATACTGGGGTTGAGGAAAAAGCCAAAATTAAATGACCTCTTCAGCAGTGAAGTACATTCCTAGAACAGGTCATGCAAGAAAGCATCAGGCATCAGGACGTGTGCCAAAAACACAGATTTACTTCTGAGTGGTTGGTAGGCCAAGACTTAGGCAACTCTGTTAACAACGTAACCTCAGAGACATCTTCTACTGGATGGAGAAATCACCGCAGATGTTCAGTGCTTTGAAGTTAAGACAGGATCTTTTGTAATCCTACTGGGCATATCAATGCCAAGACCACTGATACCCTTTC